GTCACTGGTCATAACCACATTTTTCAAGTACTCCTAGTACTCATATTTTCAATACAACTTCGTTTTAAAGCATTGAATAGAGAACACCAACTACACCACATCACCATTTTGTAAATTTGGTACAAAAGATAAGTGCAAAAGTGCCATTTATCGGGGAGTCTCTAAGTGCTAGACAACCATATTTAGCACTTGGGTATGGGTTCAATTCTCCTCCAACTCTGTAAGTTCCTGACCTAAAATGCTGCTTGTACTGTGGAGTCGGGGTGAGTAGCCGGGAATTTACCTGGTAACTACAAGTCCAAAGAGCGAATAATTGGTAGGGTTCCCACGTCATCCAAAAAAAAAAAAAAAAGTGTGCCATTTATCCCAAGATTTGAATAATGTTTTCAGCAATTGCATGCATGGAGCTATGCAAAATGAGATCCGCAGTAAACTGAATTATTGAAATAAAAAACATAATATGAAATACTTTTTTGGGGAGAATTGAGTAATGACCTTTTTTCCTTTCCTTGCTTTATACCTCTACAATGCTTTCCATAGAAATTTACTTGGCAAAATCTTATCTTGCCAAGTACATCAATCTTATTGCAGAATAAAAAATGATTTAGAAATAAATAATATAATAAATAAAATCCAAAATTCTTCTCATACGATTTTCTAAAGTTGAGAAGTGGTTTTATTAAATCAAATTGATCAAATAAGTGGTGCAACTAAAACACAAGTACATAATACAATCACCAAATAGAATAATGTGATGCGGTGTGTTTAACCTTTGATTCTTTGATTAAAATGCGTATAGACTAGGGGTCACAATATTTAACACGATACGAGATAAGAAGATTTGGGTTTGAACTAATCATGTTCGTGTCGATAAATTCACCCGTTAACTAAACGTGTCGTGTTCGAGTTTGACCTTACTAATACGATTATGACACGATTAACCAGATTAATTAAATGTGTTGAATAAATGTGTCATATTCATGTAAAAAAATGACCTAATTAGCTAAACGTGTAGAATAAACGTGTCATGTTTGTGTCAAAAATGACTTAAACATATTGTATTCGTGTAAAAAATGACCTATTTAGCAAAACGTGTAGAATAAATGTGTCGTGTTTGTGTCAAAAATGACTTAAATGTGTCTTTTCGTGTCGAGTCTTGACTCATTTATTAAATGGATTACATGGGTCTTGACACGATTAATAATCGTGTCGTGTTCGTGTTGACTTTAATCGTGTTCGTGTCGTAATTGTGTTGAGACGAACACGATTAAAGTCAATACGAATACGACACGATTATTAATGTTGACATGAACACGGCCCGTCAACATAAATTGCCACCCCTACCCTAGTATAGACCATTGTAAGAAGTAGCAAAACTTCAATGAATCAGAAGGCAACCAGATGGCTGCTTGTGCAGGTGTGACTGTATTGCCCCGACACATGAACTAAGCTGTAAGTGAGGATTTTACATAAAATTGGGACCAAAAAAACTTATTTTCTGTTAAGTAATGCAATGCCTGAATCAACAAAATGCAAGACATGGGCTATTTTTCCTACTATAATGCTTAATGTGCAAAGTGAAATTGAACACCTTGAAATTAGGATAGGCGTACTGGTTGCAAGGGACAAGGCATAAATTCCATGCTCCCAAACATTCCAAGGATGCCATTTGGGAAAATTCAATGTAATTCCAACATCACAAAAAGAATAGGCGTACTGGTTCTAGATAAACTCAATCCTAAACACAGAGTGACATAATGCTGAATTACTAGCGAAAAGACGTATTCAACCATACAAATATTTTCAAGCATTCAAATAAATAAGCACATCACAGGCTATCCAGATAATATTAAGTGTCATAACGTCATATCAAGCACTAAAAGGCGCGTATCACTGATATACAGAGAGATATATACATATATACTATGTGTATATACATTACTAAAACATGATTTCCATTTTCTTTTCCCCCTATATTCACTTCACATTAACTAGAAAGCCCAAAAAATAACTCCAATATGCATATCATGCAATACCCTGTCCAAAACTTCTACTTTACCCAGCATACATAGCAGAGTACAAATAGTATATGGAAAGTGTTGACTATCCTGACTTCTGAAGAGTAGTTAGATCATACCGGTCAGCTACATCATCAACCAAACCTGTTTCTTTCCTCCTCAGGAAGGTTGAAAGAAAAATGTCCGTGTTCGCAGTTTGCCACTGATTGGAAAGGCTGCTCAATGGAATTCTTGCAGACTCGGATACATTTTTCAGCTTTTCCAACCTTAGTTTAGTCCTATACCTCGGACTCTTACAGAGAAAAACTTCCTCCAAATTTTCCAATGTGGTACTCTGAGCCAGAGCCAAAATCCAAGCACTGACTATCACTATCACATCTCCTCTTAAGTCACCTTCATGTGAACCTGTGATATGGCGTCAAACACACCATTAAGAATTTCAGTCACATTAGCATAATCTGTAAAAGCAACAATTTCATCTTTACTACCTACAACCGCCATGTAAGCATGTTACCTCTTCCTAATTTAAGTTTAACACATGCACTGGTCTTTCAGAACCCTATCTCCCAGCTCAGTCTTTTCCTTTGAAATAATAATTCTGTCCTACGAAAAAAAAAAAAAAAAAAGGATTGTTGCCCAATTCTTATGAATCATGGTAACCCCTAATTACATACATTCAAAATCAAATATAATAATTCAACATAAATGTAAGTAATCCCACCAAGCATACGAATCAAATGAAAATCAGAGAAACAATTATCTTCGCAAATTTCATGTACAATATCAGCAATGTACCCCTCAGGTAAGCTAAACATGTAAATGTAGTCCTTAATCTAATAGACACAAAACCTCCTCCACAGATCCCCAATGTATTAAATATTTAAATGCGATAAATAAAAATCCAGCAAGGATATATCATCATCACTAAATATTGGTATATTGTGGACGCTGAAACATGAAATACAATATAAATAGGCAAAAAAGTGACAATAATATTTGTAAAATGCCATTTATCGATGTCATGGAAATAAGGATATATCAGTAGATACATGCATATACCGTGGGGGTGGGCATCTTACTTCATGGTAAGCCCATATTCTAGCCATAAATCCAAAATCGTCAAGCCGACCTTGTAGACAAGCAAGAGGCATCAACTCTCGCAAGCAATGCCATGAAGCTCATTTTGAATTCCTTGAGACTTGGTGCCAACCCAGGTACGCATTACAGGTTAGGCTGTACAGCTGAATAGTAGATGGCTTTTCCAAGGAACATCCACTTTCGCATGCACCATGATACGTGGACACCCAGTCATATGGTCTAATGCAATTCATCAGACTAAAAGTGAAGCATTCACGTGCATATATATTACTGTGCCAGGTACCTATTTTGCACCTTAATGCAATCTTTATAATGTTGCAAGTTATATTTGTGTGCTCAAATGCATAATCATTCATTTGTGTCACTTTCTCAGTCCCCTCATTTTTATATTTTCAAGTATAGATACACAATTTGGTCAGTAAATATTTAATATTCCTTTCATAAGCAACGAAAATCTTGATTGCACAAATATTATCACTTTTTATCTATGTTTGATATTCCAAATTTGAAGCGAAAGATACAGTAAATGCAAGTAATAATTCGTGTTTCATGCAATTTAATTTATAAGTGTTTGTATTTGCTAGATTCTGGATTTACAATGTTTCAGTGCACCTCCATATAATGGTAACTGATACCTAAGCAACCAAAGGAATAACCAGAGAGACCTACTGGAAAAAAAGCTGCTGCATTGGAGTTGGTTTTGTGATTTTCTTTTATATCAGGTGGGACTTCGAATTCAGGGAAAACAATTAAACATATGGATTGTTTTGGTGACTCTGAGGTGCCTTCATCTGTTCATCTTGCATTTCTGTGATCTGTTCTTGGAAAGCTTCTCATGTTATGTTCTTCTCTGCCCTAACTTGATCTTAAGCGGCTGCAAATTTGACAGTGTTCTCCTGAAGAAGAGAGAGTGGAAAAGCCCTAGTCAAAGAAACAAAGGAAGAAGAGGAAGGAGGAGTAGGAGGATAAAAAGAAAAACAAAAGGTTATTATGGAGAGAGCTTGAAATGCAGAGAGCAGGCTGATTACTGTTGAAAAAAGAAAGAAAATTCAAGAAGTAGATCTTTTAGAGAACAATCATTTGCAAACAGGAGAGAGCGGACGATAAAATTAGTAATGCTGAATAAATTTTCATAATTTAATCTTAGCATGCTTCAACATTTTGTCTCAATTTCTTTTATAATTGTAAAATGAACCAAGCCATCAGAATTAGGATACTTTTAAAATTGAATTGTATAATACACAGGTTTTACTACATTCACTCATTTTCAAATTTAATTTGTCTTTCAGTGTCAAGATTCACCATAAAGTTATAACAATGATGAAATTAGCTTCACCAATAATCAACTTGAAGGAAGTTCTCAATACAGAAATGGAGGAAAATGGTATATTGATTGAATCATGAATTGAACCAACAATGTCACACTTGCACAAGGAAAAGGAATGCTATATAAATAATTTATATATGTTCTAAAAAAGAGGAAAATAACAATTTCTGGATAAAAAGCACAACACCGAGTTAGATGTTTGCACCATTACAACTGAAAACCAAAATCATTAATTTATTAAATTGAACTAGACTGATCTCCCACACCAACAGAAAATGGTATATCACACCAAGCCTAAACCACTACTACAAAAGCACCCGAGAATTCAATGCACCATGTCGTTGAGCTTCAAGTTCTAATTGCCAGAACTAACATAGAGATCTCAAATTGCTCAGAGATTAATGAATATGAATTGATTGCCAAGTTGTATTTCAAATAAAAGCAAAGCAAATTCAGTACCCAAGAGTAAACAAGGAGAAACCAATGTATAGTTGGAATCAGAGATGTATTACATTAAAAAAAAAGTCCACTCTGCACCTCATTTTTCCATATCCTAGTTACTTTGAAAGATTCAACTTCTCCTGATATAACTTCAAAAGCTCAGGAGCTTCTTCGTCGTATTTTTTCTCATACTTCTTTAGGTGTTGACTTTCAGGAGACTCCAACATCGTGAAGCTAAATTTCTTCTCAATCAAACCTTTCGACAACAGAATTTGATAAACCAAACACCTTGGAATGAACCTCCTCTCCAAGCTCAGGGACAAAAGCTTTGGCACCCTCACAACAATTAAAGACTCCCAACCTATTTTATTGACAAAAAAATCCATTATCATCATAATCTTATCCTCTGACGTCATCATACAAGATGTATGCTTCCTAAAAGCCACTAAAATCTCATCCTCAGACAAACCCCACTTCTTATAAACCTCCACCTTCTTTTCCCAAGTTGATTTACTCATTTGCCTCAGTGTCCGAATCGCTAAAGCAAAATTCACTGTGATAGGGTTGAAACTCATTTTCTTTACTTCGTCCACACTCTCCTTAAACCTAACAGTACTACTTATGAAAACTCTAGGATGATTTGTAAGGAGTGTCACAATATTCGATTCGGGCACACTTGATTCTCTCAGAGCTTTAATATTGGGTGCACATGAATGTGAAGATCTAGCAACAAAAGCTCACCATAGCGTTTAATAGCTGCAATTGTTTTTTTCTTCAGACTTATCAATTTATTTAAGACATTGTAAGATGGGATTATATGATTTTCCAAACTTCTTTACAAAATAGTTAGTGTTGAAGTTTGGCAATGTCTTCGATTGAAACACCTTTAGAGTGGAAAAATACTATTTTGGGAAAAAGGGTTTCCTCAGGATCGGATACGAGTACCCCAGGGTGTCTTCTGATGAGAAGTGAGATATGGGTTTCGGTGAATCCATGGCTGCTGAAGAATGCGAGAATAGAGTCCAGTTTGTGTGGGGTTTTGAAGTTAACGTACTTGAAGGTTGCGAGAGCCTTTTCTGGAGGAAGCCCACATGATTTTATAAGGTAATCGACTGTGAACAATGATGATGAACAAAATGGGTGTTGTTGAAGAAAATGCAGTTTCTGGATTGGTGAAGTTGATACAACACACCTCAAATCAGGCAAAGATTTGAATATGAAATTAAACATGGACAATGATGGAAGGAACTCACCTGTTATGTTATTGTTAATGGGAATCTTGTCACAAATTTGGATCATCTTCACTAAAGCCCTCTAACCTGATGAACCCTGAGGCTATATTTGGTGCGGTTGGTTTGAAGGGAATGGATAACATTAGTTATGAAAGAAAGTGAAGGAAATGGTAATTTTAACCTCCTATTGTATTTGGTTGATTAATGAAATAAAAGAAAAAGAAGGATATTAATCATGTTTGGTAAAAGAAAGAGAAAGAAAAGAAAGAAAATTATTTTAATAAATTGACTATTATACCCTTTTATATTTTAAACGATATATATATATATATATATATATATATATATATATATATATATTGTCTCCTATACCTTTAACAGGCCTATAGATGATGGGCCACAAGAAAAGAAAAAAAATAAATAAAATAGGGCAAATCATTTCAGCCTCCCCAATCTCGCCTCTATCTCTATTCTCGTTCTCAACTTTGAACTTGCCCTTTCTTTCTCTCTGCACTACAAGAATCAGAAGTTCAAATCCCATATATTTCAGTTTATCTATCTGTCTGCAAGAATCAAAAGTTCAAAACCCGTATCAGTATATCATTTCAGATTATTCAAAAAATTGAAACCCATATCTTTCAGTTTCCATCGCTGCTGTTCCAGTTTGGGTTCACCGTTCGCAAGCTTCAGTCGCTAGCCCACCATCTCTCACTCTCTCTGCAACTGCAAACTTGTATGTATATGTAATTCTTGTTTTGCGAACTTGTGTAATCTTGAGGGTAAAATTGGCATCACAAATATTACATCAGCCCTTGCCTTCACTTTTTTTCCATTTCCTTCCATTTTTGGGAGGATAAGAAAACTACTGTATAAACCTATAGATAACCCTCCAAAGCCTTCCCTTTCCTTTCCTTTCCTTTCCTTCCACCCATTTTAGCCAAACACAATTTTTTAATCCCCCTCCATCACCTTCCCTTTCCTTTCCTCCATTTTCCATTACACCAAACTGACCCTAAAATACTCTCCGATTTCTTAAGCGGTTTATTATACTACCTTACATGACATCGTTTCCACAGAAGAATTCCCCCTAACCAAGAAGTGTTGTTTACAAATAGTGTCACCATAGTCCACAACTCCGACTCGTAATAGGGTTATGAATTACTGTAAAATTACCTGAGACATTTGAATCTTCAACTCCCATTTCACTATGATCACCCAGTAATGAATGGATCACTGCTCTTCTTCTGCCCTGTAGAATTGTTCTTGTTTTCAAATTCAGTGAGAGTGAGGTGGGTTTCAATTAGTTTGCCTTATTTGTGTTGATAGAAAGAAAGAGAGAAAGACTGGTGGGTAATGGCAGAAGGTCGTTCGATTAGGATGGAAGGGGCATATTTGATTAGGAAGGAAGGGGAGACCTGGGCAAAGCAATTGTAGAGAGCGTGAGAGAACGAGGAACATGTGAATTGTAGTCGCAGCTCCTATTGGATAGTTTTAAATGAATTTCGCTTCCTCTCCTTTTATAATTGTTTTAAATCATGTGTTTACGGCCAACGTGTTAGTTTTTCACCTTTTCAATGGCTCTTCATTAACCGTTGTTTTTCTCACCCGGACTTAGATCCTATGAGTTAAAACTTCTCTAAGTTATCCTAAGTTGAATTCTTTACATATTGACATTTAAAATTTATGCAATAAAAAAATATTTACCAAAGTTTGAAAATTGTACCGCTTTGAAATAAGGAAAATTCTTCATACTTTAATGAAGTTAATGCTCTGATTCACTCTCTTTTTTTGAAATCTAAATTGCAAAATTCCTCTCTTTTTTCTTTCTCTTTTTCTGAAATATAAATTGCAAAATTCATCTCTTTTTTTGAAAATTTAAACTGCAAAATCCATTATAGAGGTTTTTAATTTGCACATTCATTTTTGGCACGAAATATTCCCCTATCGTGGGAATCAGCAAAAGTAGAAAGAAGGGGCGATTTTGCAGGAAAAGATGTGGGAGAGAGAACGCCGTTAACGTCGTTAAAGTATGGTGAATTTTTCTTATTTCAAAACGATGTAGTTTTCAAACTATGGTAAATTTTTCTTATCTCAAAACGGTGCAGTTTTCAAACTTTCTTTAAATTAGTTGACGTGATTTAACACAAGCAGTAGATAGATTCTAAATGTCACATGTCAATCTGTAGAGAATTCAACTTAGGATAACTTAGAGAAGATTTGACTTAGAGGATCCAAGTCATTCCCACTATCTTTCTCTCATTACACTTTTAGACTTTGTTTGGAGAGGCCCAAAGCTGCCCATATTATTGGTCCACATGTAAAAAAAAAAAAAAAAAGGAGTAATACTAACATAAAGTATACACAAAATTCATGATATTAAAAAAAAAAAAAAAAAAAAAAAGAAAAGAAGAAGATGGATAAAAATAGTAAAATAAAAATAGTAAAACTACTATCAATGCAATACATGTTCAAAGACCCTTTAAAAGAATAAAAATAAAAAGAAAAACAGAGTCTAAAAGCATTCTAGTATGTAAGGTAATGAGAGAAAGATAGTTGGAAAAACAGTTGTTAATGAAGAGTCCTTAAAAAGGTGGAAAACCAACATGTTGACTGTAAACAAGAGGAAATAAAATCCTTTTAAAACTATCTAATAGGAACTGGCGGCTGTATATCCACAGTGGCAAGTGTTTAGCAGTCCTCTTGAGAGAATGTAGACATATTTGGAAAATGATATTTTTATGTCTGGTTGTACTTCTTATTTCTAAGATGGGATTGTGTATATTTTCTTTTAGTACTTATTGATTTAAGCATATGTGAGATTTTTAAATAATTTCCATTGGTACTAACTAATCATCATTTGTCACCAAAGTAAATATGTGGGAATTATATAAAATTGTATTTAGCTTTTATTTATTTATTTAGGTGTACCATGGACAGAAATAAAGAACAGGGTAATTTACATGGAGTATTCGCCGCGGTATGCACCCAAATTGCACTAAATAGTGTGTAGTGTGGCCAAATTTGAATTTATAGAATGCTACTACTACAACTAACTATTAATATAGCTAGAGTCAGTAGGAATTGTCCCAAGGGAATGTGAATGGTATTTTTGTGGAAACAATGTTGTATTAATAGGTCGAGTGATCAAAAGATGGTTTGTTGGTTGGATTAAACTACAATTTAAACTAAACAAATGCAATGTAAGACAATTAAAGTAAGTAAGGTGTAGAGAATATGAGAGAGGAGTCTTGGGTCATAGAGTTCACCACGAAGTATTACCTTCCTAGACATTCAATATTTGATGGATTAGAGGGAATAAGTGTTATCAATGAAAGTGTGTGCCATTGATTAAAATATTAGCATGGATGGCCAAGTAAGCATACATTGTTTAACCAATCTAGTGAATAGCACAACATATCAAATCAAGCCATTAATCCTTTCATACGCCCACAATCAATACACACTCAACAAATTAGAGAAATATACTACTTGCATTCATAAGTATGGAACATCAAACAACAAGAATAAATTGTCCACCTATCTAAGAAAGTAAGGCAACTACACTACAACTAAGTTAGTGACATGAAAATTAAACTAATTAAGCTAAAGAGGTGGCACAATCCATCAAGAAATAAGTATAAACCATCAAATAAACTACAAGAGTATTCCATTTAAGCACCATGGCTTGGCCATCACTAAATTCATAATATCAACACACATAGACATGTATTAATGTCATAAAATCTAGAGATAAACACATGAACATCTATTGTAGGATACATAGACATATGAATAGAATTAAATGATCAATTGGAAGTGTTAAACTACGCAAATCATTGTAAAAACAAGATTTATATATATAAGATGTCAAAACAAGAAATACAACACTAATCCCTATTAATTACAAAACATCACAGTCTAAGAGGCATGCTTAGGGCTATCTCTAGCCCCAAGAGATGGTTTAGCCACTCATTGATGTTGTCATCCAACCCTCAAAGGCTATTTCCATGGTAGAGCTCATCTTCCTCCTCTTGTGTTCTTGGTAGAAAGCCTAGATGAGAGGAAGAACTTTTTTCAAATTGTATAATTTCTCTCTCTAATCTCTAGTCAAGCCTCTCTAACTAAGCAACCTTTTTACTCAAAATATCCAAAATCCTTATAAACGTAGCTCAAATGTCACACCCAATAGTCAGACCTCGTGCACTAGGAGCTCCCAATAATTACACCACGAGCACACATTTAATTTGGCTTGAAATGAACTTTTCATGTAACTTGAGGCAGTTCGATCGATCACGAGGTTGCTTGGATCGATCGAACCTTGGCGGTGCACTTTTTGGATAATGACAAGGCTGAGATATTTTTGGGAAGAGGACAAAAGTGGTAGGTGAGGATAAGATCAAAAGGGTTCGATTGATCGAAGGATATGTTGGATCGATCGAACAAGATATTTTATTGAGGATAAGGACAAAAGGCTCGATCCATCATGTCATGGTTGAATCGATCACAATGAGATCAATCAGATCTTGGGTTCGATCAATCATGGAAAGCTTCTTTCACCCATTTGCTTCCACTTTGCTCCTTTCTTCCTTTAAGCTTGAGATTGCTTCTTTTAATGCTCTAATTCGGCTGAATTAACTTATTTTAGGGATAAGTGTCTGAAAAGGGAAATTACACGAAATTAGACTAAAACGAAAAAATAAGATATAATAAGGTACTAAAACATTCAAGCTTAAGGGGTTTAAATGCGCACTTTTCAACGCTCATCACACCCCCAAACTTAAATATTGCTAGTCCTTAGCAATGAACTACGAGGTAAAGAAATGAAATGAACAACTACGCAACTATAACTAGAAAGTAATAAATGGATAACGCCACTTTGATAGGCAACACGATTGCATTTAGCATATGCAACAAGCCTTTTAAACCCTTAGGTTACCCTTAGTGGATGAGTGAAGTCTCATGAGTGTTTCAGAAATGATACCCACAAACATTAAGCTCTTTCTCACTAAAGAGGCACCAATATTCCAAACAAGCATTGAGAGAAAACTACCTTAAGTATACAATTTT